TGCCACTGATAGAAAAGAAACATTACGACGAGAGCAGTGGGAGGTCCAGAGGGTGCCATGTTCACTTCAAAGGGTTCCAAATGCCTATTTAACTGAAAATATTACACCTACAATTAAAACACTGTTTCCACTAACTCTAACTGATGGCTTATTGATTTTTGTAAATGTTTTAAAGTAATTCTGACTTATTTTTTCCTGTAAAAGTTTTTTTGTTCCACAAGCAACTAATGAATAAATTAGATTATATAGTTTTCTCAAGAATATGTGAAGGTGTTGTTGGTAGAACACATTTACAGTTGGATCTCAGATTACAAAAATTACCAGAACCAGATGACATTCAGTTCAGTTAATGGCCTCACATGCACATGTTTCCACCAATGTGGAGTCCACATTGTGGACGGAATATCATATTAAACTCTCACAGGGTTTCCTGTCTTACATTTAAAGGTGCCGCAAACATTGCAAATTGAATCTGGCCAATTGTTTGTTTGTTTTTTTAGTGACAAACTGCTCAACCAGTGTGGTCTGACTCCCGAACAAAAGATTTCAATGAGTCAGTTAATTTTAGTGAATCAAAAACAGAGCATGACAAGTGAAGTCTGATTCCTGAATGAATTACTCTAATAAGTATTTCTTTTTGTGAAGCCACCTGTCTGTCTAAACACTCATTTTGCAAGACTCGTTGAAAATTTACGTACTGACGTTATCATTTAGCTATGGAATTGTATTCTTTTTTCCATTTAAAAAAAAAAAAAAATATATATATAATCAAATATTTGTTTGATAAAAGTAGGCTACACAACAGATCTTGTGGCAGGCATGACGCCACTGGACATGCACTCCATAACTAATTAAAAGAGGGGAATAAAATATAAGGTAAGGTGGAAAATAGGTCAATAAGTGTAGATTTGCACGGTTCTGTTTGCTTACGTGCATCAGTCAAATCTTGAGACAGGTGAAAAGCGTTTGGTTAATGGTGAATATTGACCTAGTGTGTGTACGATTGTGGCTCCTGCTGTCGGCAAGGGATAATCGCTGCATTTGGGGTAAAAACGACGGAATAATTTATTGTGTAAGGTGCCAAGAATATAAGGAGACCTGGGTTGCACTGTCTGTTCGGGCAGCTGCATTTAGCGGTGCCTTTACCAATCACCTCCATTGTTTACAGCATTCGGCACAATCGTCTGTGAATGAAGTCACTTCCTAATATACGGTAAATATGCCCCAGTATAGTCCCGCCCCTGACACTGATTGACAGGTTTCCATGGAAGGCATCGGAAATTCAAACGCTAAAGGAATTGCTTTTCCATTTTGGCAGGTTACATGCTCGCGCAGAGAGAGTGACAAAGCTGACTTGGAAATTAATATTGCTATATAAATATGACTAAATATTGCTATATAAATATGGCTCATAACTCGTAAATGGACTTTGCTTTTCCATTTCACTATGCGTTCGCGAAAACTCAAACGGTAATGCAAGATTTGCAGTTGCGTTTGGATTATGTCACAATTCATGCGTACACATATGGAAAACGCAATTGAAAATGCAATTTGCAATTCCTTTTGAAAATAATTCGGAATATCCTTCCATACATATAATTTCAGCAATGAAAGAAAGCAAACAAGGAGACAGTAATACTCCAATCATAGAATACCTCCAAAACGGCGGTTTCACCCATAATGCACTTCAGTTATTGTGGTTGTGACATCATCTGTCAAAGACCATTTCCTGAACAAATGACTCTAATGAGTCCGTTCTTTTTTGTGAAGCCACCTGTAAGTAGATTGAAAACCATTGAAAGTCAGCGTAAACACTCCTTTTGCAAGAACTGTTCTGAATGTACTTATTACTGACATTATCTTAGAATTTAGCAATGGTATTATACAGGTGCATCTCAATAAATTAGAATGTCGTGGAAAAGTTCATTTATTTCAGTAATTCAACTCAAATTGTGAAACTCGTGTATTAAATAAATTCAATACACACAGACTGAAGTAGTTTAAGTCTTTGGTTCTTCTCAAATATTTATTCCATAAAAGTAATGAATCATTAATGGTTAAAGAACGAAACCTGTTAAGTATTCTAACCAGAATCATTTCTTCTCATACCTACTTGTGGCTGGTTGCTTCTGAGTCTATGGTATTTATTTGTTTTACCATCCAGTGGAATATCATCTAATCATTTTTAGAAAAGTAATAGCAATTGTTATACATTGTTACATAGGCTTTTGACAGACAACCTGAACATCGTTATTGACAACCATTTTTGAAGGACGAGGAAAAGGGCATCAGTCACTGAAGTGAGAAAAATGCTTCTGAGGTAGACAAGACAAAACAGCTGAGGAAATCCACTAATCGGGCTCCCAAAGAACAGAAGGGGAGGGTGGAAGATTACTGACCTCCATTGCAGCACCTGACTTGGACTTGGTTCAGGTTGTGTCCTGGCTGAGCATTTCAAGCGATGCTTAATGTGAAGGCAATTAGATTATTAGTGCAGCAGACGGCAGTTACACAGAAAGACTGCTATTCAATGATAATCACTGCAAAAACCCTTCAGGGCTTCAATCTTGTTACCTAATATGTAACATTAAGAGTAGTTCTAATAAAGACATGATACTAAGCCAGTTGTCCAATTCATTTAGCATTAGCTCGACTTAAAGCTAATGCTTCTTTTCATCCAAAAACAAAATGTTCTTCCTCTTAATTGGTAATTGAGAAAAGCAGGCAGCACATGTGTTAAAGGCAGCCTGGAAAATGAGAACACTAATCTACGGTTACCCCCATCATGCTCAAATTGAAACCTACTGGTGCTGGTGTCCGTTTGCTGTGACAGCTGTCCACACTTCATGTTTTTGTGCTATTTAAAACCTTATGAGATGTGCAACCATTTTACACTTGATTTTTGAGATTATTGATAAAAAATAAGACGGCTTTTAAGCAGGGTGTGGGTTGACCAAAATCAAGTTCTGGATTTTAAATTAACATTATGTTCGGTATAAAAACTTTAAAACAGTACAATAAAGTATTTTTAAAACATATTTTACTCAAAAAAGTTGCTCATATTTTGGGACTGTTGAGAGTTTATGAATTCACCTGGTATTAATTTCAACAAATTCATATACTCAAAAGAAATCTCTTCAACTAAACAACATGTTTATACCCAGGACACTGTAATTTAAGCACACATGACATTATCAAAGTTAGATTTATTATATCTGGACACAGAGTGTTTAATACAAAGAAAGATGTAGAAGTAAAACGGTTTGTGGTATGGCACTCTCCTTTTCACAGACCAGAATTCCCCTATAAGACAAATAACTCAGTCATATAGTGCATATAATTATTTGATTATCCACTTCATAGCAATGAGTTACCAAATCAAAAGTAATAAATACTGTACAATGATAAATCTGCAGTTAAAAATGACATGCCAAAATTTTACATTGCATACAATATCCTTAAACAACAGCATTTGTTATTCATACCTTCACAATAATATTTTTTATAAAATCAGTAAATTGTACAAGTATAATTCAATATATGATTATATATACACATATATATTCCAATATCGATATTTAAATAAAGTGCCTTTCTTTTTGAAGCTCTGAAAGGTGAAAGAATGTAGATCTTAAGATAAACCAAGCAGATTTTATATCAAAGTACCTTGTTCAGAATCACAGCTGCATTGAAGACCCTCAGAAGTCTTTACCTTGCAGTAAATAACCTGGGATTTAAACCAAGAAACTTCTAGTTACAGGTTCAACATCACTCAATGCGCATCTGCAGCAGCAAATCCATGCAACATATTGTACTCTTTTTCATTTATCTAGTAAAAAGACTGAACTGAGTTTTCATAGGACAATACTGTGCTTAAAATCACAATGTAAGATATTATCAAAGGTGGTTTTTTATTGCTACATGGAACAGTTGTCTGTCAGCAGGAATTTAGAAATCAAATCACCAGCATTCCGTGTCAACATCTCACAAAGAGATCATGACAACACTTGTGCTGAAAATGGCGGCTTAGGTCCTTCAAACTTCATCCCATGTAAGCCTCTAGGCTTTGTTTGGGACTCAAGGATGAACTGAGACATTGAAAGAGCCACTGTATTTAAAGATATGTTCATTTACAACAAGTGTCACCTTCACCTCACCTTTACAGGAACACTTCAATCCATCAACCAAGCTCTGACAGCCCCCTGCACTGGTGTCAGGCGGCTGTCTCATATTGCATTCAGTACAAAGCTGAGTTGTGTTGAAAACAGAATGGGATCCAATTATACTTCAGATTTGAAAAAACAAGCCTCCCAATGCTGAGGGACGTCTTCTCAAAGGCAAGTTCAAAAAAAGGTTCCCTATCACTTCTCAGATTCCCTAATTTTGTTCCGCTACAGCACTCCGCAAAAAGGTAGGTCAAAGGTCAAATGATCCTGTATAAATATCTATCCAACGGCACAAAGTCTGTGTATATTTGGAGTAACAATATACAAACTCTAAAGAGAAGAACTATTCTCAGAAATTTGTTGAATTGGTTTGCGAATGGTGCGGCTTGTGTTTGATTTGTTTGGACTGATCTCGCACGGATTGGAGCGAGGCCAGGATTGAGCTTCAGGTCTAAAGACAACAAAATAGGCATTCTGTTGCGTTTTTGAATATCTCACAATTCTAGCAGCTTTACTGGAATTCCTTTAATGATGGAGCAGAGTCTTTGAGGACACTTAAGGAAAACAAACGTGTATCCAATGAAAATACAGCGAACCTGTTCCAGAGAATGCCATTGAAGAACTCTTGCTGAACTTTGTTTGGAGCACGTACGTAACATCACAGAAGAAAGAAGTCAGAAAATTGCATCATGATCTTCCAATCTGGGCTTTGGACCAACATGTTAAACCAGTGTTGTTGCAATTGAGCTGTACAAAACAGTTTGTTACAGTATCTAAGATTTAGTCTCCAGATGAATCTCTCAAGAGGACTCTCCAGAATTAAGCAAACACTGGTTGATTTGATGTGAAATCCATGATCTGGATCAGTACTCCCTGGCCTCCTCTAGTTCATTCATGTAGACGTCTTCCTGCGGGTTCTCAACACACAGTAGACCATTATTGGGAGGCCGAACCGAATGAAAGCGGCTCCAGTCTCCTTTACACAGGATCCATGGAAGAACGTCCACTTTGTAATGAAGTTCCGGCGAGAACTCCGTACTGATGAGGTTGGGGGCTCCAGCCCCTTTGCCTCGAGTGATGAGCTTCATGTGATCATCGTAGCAGCAGTGCTGTGCAGCCAATGTGGTGCTGTCAAAGGAGAGCATCGAGCGAACGCAGAACTTTGCAGAGGGCTTGTAAATGTCCAGCCTCTCCTTTGGGCCGCTGGCGTCTCGCCAACGATAGGTCTTTTGTAACTTCCTATCAAAAATGTTGACAGCACTGTAGACCACCTCGGATGGGTAGATGCAAGGGCAGTTGGGTAATTCGGTCAGGACCTGGTGTAGGTATTTCTCGAGGAAGTCGTTCTTGCAATTCAGCCACTTCTCACAGCTGTCAACATCTACAGGGTAATCAGATCAATTTATTAACGTTGTCAAAAATATTTTTTATATATAACGTTTTGTTAATATTTAAAAAATAATATATTTCATATTATGCCAGAAGAAATTATTGAGAACCATGGCCTAACACGCAATAGGGGTTGTCTCAGTCTGATGCCAAAACATAAAGATACAAAAAAATATGTGCTGCAGGCAGCGGTCATGCTGAAATATAGCTGTTATGTACATTTATGTTCCATTGTAAAGAGATAAAAAAAACACACTTTATCCTGTTATGTTTTTAAACTACTTTCATTATTATTGCGGTTAAATGAAAAGAGCTATTACATTCAATATTCAATGGCAAAAGTAAGAGACCAACAAAAAACTCCAAAGCAAACACCGGGGGTTTTGGAAAAGGACTCTTTATTTTGTGGTCTCAGTAACACTCTCTGTGGAGTATTTGTGAAAAATTTGAACGTCAGATCTTTTACAGTCTAACAAGACTCCCACATAGTTCCTCCTGCTACAGTCTCAGAGGAGAAGTTTCTACAACGACGCTGATTAAATGGGTTTTGAACTAGACATTAAGTTATATGAAAGCTAAGACAACAAACCTATAAACGTTTCAACTAATAAAAGAACACACTAGAAGCTTGAAAGGAAATTAACTGAAGCCTCCATTAAGAGATTCAGTAGTGCAGTATGTTGCAGATAGCAAAAATACTAGTTATATAATTGGCAATAGTTACACTAACAAAAAAGTATCGAAAATGACCTTGGTACTAACAGTTTTTGAACAGTGTAACCTGGCACTGTAATGGGTTTTTGGACATGTGTTATGCAAATACCTTCTTCTTCTTTTTTTTCTGAAATACTGAAAATGTCCAGGTTTTGGCTTTTTTTGTCTCTTGTTTTCATACTTGCTGAAAAATGACTGAAAGGTCATTTTGACCAATAGTGTGCAGGCATTGTACATAACTGACCAATCGTGGTGGGCGAGAAGGTGGGATCTACAAAGAACAATGCAAATACGGGTACACATACTGTGTGAAGACTTCAGAGTCATTTTTGGCAATTTAGAACCGACTAGAACATGTCTGGAAAAAGAGGACGTATGGTCACCCTAACCACATTTAAAAAGTACTATGGTACCACCAGAATACTGAATTGCTGAATGACCACACCACAGAAATACACAAACAAAACCAACCGACCTGTGCCAAAAAGTTCTGTGCTGTTTGCCACTTCATGAGGAGTAGGTTCTGTCACAGGAATTATGTCATCTGTAGATGTAATAGAGAAGATATTTAAAATCAACATGAAATTTTAAATAAAAACACAATATGATCTTAACAACCCTCCTGAAAATAAAAATCTCTGCCAAAAACAAACCAAAAATCAAGACCAGTTTAGCTAGCAAAAGTAAGCACAATTCACTGAAATTTACTGACTTTCATGCTGGTTATCCACCATGCATAGGCGGAGCGTGTGTAAGGCTGGGCCAGGCTTAGCCTTCCCCTGGCCATGGGTTTTGAAATTAACGGGCTGTTGCGAAGAAAGTGAAAATGAAATGGAAAATGTTGATTGCGGCGTTAAATTTAGATATGTTCATTCGGGATATTTCTTTTTACATGTTTACAGCGTTGCGGATTATAACCAATCAAACACGATTCTGTTGAGCTTATGAACACAATGGCCAATCAGAGGCATTCAGATTAGTCATCGGTGAAACTTTTTGTTCAGTGCACGTGCGCTCACTGACTGAATCCTGCACTCTTGTGAATTCTCTCATCGTAAACAACAAAGTACAGATATACATACAGCATAAGAGATTCATTCATTATACAGTGTCGACAACTTCACTGATCATAACGGGAGTGTTTTAGTGTTTTTAGTGCTTAAACTCGAGCTAGACTTAAGTCATAATGTAATGTTCTTTGATAATGTAAATGTTCTTTGCTCGCTTTCTGTATATAATTGATTCACTGTTAGAATAACTGTGGAAATGAAAGCATTATAATTAGCAAATTAAAATGTTTTTTTTTATTAAACTGTGATCATGTCAAATACAAATTCAGTCGTATTAAAAATATTTTATGACAGGACACCCATATCTGGTACTTGCCTAAAAAGAAGGGTTTATGATGTGCATATAGTTAATAGATTACACAAACATTAGGCTACTTTTAGCCTTACCCTGGAGTTGTTTCACACTCCGCCTATGCCACCATGGCTACACTAGTTAAGCTGGCCTGCCAGCAACAATAACGAGTTTAACCTGGTCCAGATCAAGGGGGCTAAAGTCTGATTTTTCATCCCCTTCTCAAAACTACACCATCTGGCTGAAAAAATGCATCTTTTTTTTCTTTTGCCATTCAAAAATAGCATACAGCATAGTATATTTTACATCGCAAATATTTCATTATAGCAAATAGATGTTTTTTCATTGACCAATTTAATTCAGAAGGCGTTTGAAAGTATTTTAGATGGCTTCTAAAAAATATTTATCCTATTATCCGAGAGTTGTGTTTTTTTTCAGGAGCTGGAAATGTTAAAATTAATTGTTCTATGGTGTTTATGTAGATTTAGCACTGTAGAGCCTCACGTAGCGTATTTGAGTTTGTAAGCGAACTGATTTTGTGTGTAATGCCCGTTTGTGCATGGCAGGTTGTGGACCGCCCTGTATCAGGGGCTTTTAAACTGAAAGCCCTCATTGAGCTGTCATGCTGAAGCCAAGTAAACGCCTGCTGCTCTCAAAGAGTGGTTTCATAGTGTATACAGTACACACACAGAAGGCCAAACTACTCCTTTTCAAACACGAGTCTGGTGTCTCTGGTGTTTGTTCGACTTCTGCATGCCTGACAGAGATGAATGAGAGGCATTAGTGAAGTTTTCCATCACTATCAGCATAAATAGGAGCCGGATGGAATTAAGATCAAGATCAATAGTAAGTAGTGAAGTGCACTGTGGGATTGCAAAGGCCTCAGTTTAAGTGACAGCACTGACAGTCTCACCGGGACAACGCTCTAAATCACATGTCCGTGATTCTGTGGCAGTGCAGGCATAGCCACATGAACGAATCCTCTTTTGATTCCCGTGTCCACAGGTGACACTGCACGGTGACCAGTCGCTCCATTCTTCCTCCTCATATTCTGTAGATGAAAAAAATAATGAGTGTAGGAAATCTGTGACAAAAAAGGATGACCTTTTCTACAGTATAAATTGAAACTAACGAATTCCTCACACAGCATGTGGGAATGGTATGCAATGCAGGTCAAACCACAAATGAGTTGGGATTAATGGTAAAGGTATTTTTTTACTCAACATAACAAGCTCCTGAAAGTAAAATCTTCAACTAAAATACTTTAACTGAGTTACACCTTTAAATTCAATCTGCATGCATCTGAACTCTGTGTAACATCCAACATACTGGGACTGACAAAGAAATAAATCCAAAAACAACCAAGATGGTAAGTGCATCTCTCTGTTGTTTGCATAAGAAAGCTAATGATGCACAACTAAATTAATATTGCGTATTTCTCTGTAAAATATAATCTCTCTAATGAACAAAATGTGGGCCCTCCTGGCAGGCCAGGCTTGCTTTTTTTTGGTAACAAATATGTCAGAGGCAAAGTCGGCCACTTACAGCTGTGAGAACTGAGCCAATACAAACACTTCAGCAGGAAGGCAAGGCCTAATAGCTTAGATGCTTTCCAACAATGCTCTCTTTCCACCACCATGCTAAAGAGATTAAAGTTTCAGAGCACTCCATGGTGGTAGTGATGGAGAGAGAGAAGATTTGGAGAGAAATAAGAGCACTGTTTCCTCGCTAATGTATTTTGGCTGCATTGTTGTTGGTTACCAGGTGTTGTTGCTGATTCAGAGTCCACATTCTGATGATGAAGACACCCACTCATACTGTCACAGCAAAGAAAACACTGATGACATACCCACTTATGCAGGTTCTTGCAAATTGTTTGAATAACTTTCTCAGAATTCAAAATTCTTGAATACTTTAATTTAATTGGTATTTATTGGGTGTTTTCCCATAAAAAAATCTAATATTTTCTACAATTTGCAATTTTAGAAACAGAATTGTGTAAGATGACTTTTTTTTTTCTAGAAAATACATCTCAAAAAAAGTTTAGTTTAATCCCCCCGGTTTAAGGATAAACGGCACTACATTTTGTTAGATTTATGCTTAAAATAAGAAATACCAACTTTATTTATTTTTAGCGGAATTGAGCTTGGTAGCCCTGTACAGTGTAAAATCTGCACAAAACTGCATATTAAACATCATATAATGTTTTGATACTGTGTTGTGTCACACAATGTCACTGGTTTGCAGTGACAAAGTGACCAGACATCCATCATTCATTTCCAATGAGAGCAACACAAGCGATCGAGACCACACACACTGAATAGACTTATATTTGCTATCATAGAACTTTGTTTCAACTAAAATACCACAGGCGCTGTAATAAGTTACTACAGTAAAACTGTGGTAAATAATTTTCATAAGGGCAGTGGAGAGGAAAAAATGACCTAAAGCTATAACATTCTACAGAGCTGTTGCCGAACATGGCCTGCCTGTAATTCTGTGACTCACCATAATTGCAGAAAAGCGCTTCATTACTGTACGCCTCTAGAGGAGACCACATCATTAATAATGTGGCTCATTTGCCCTTCTCTGTTTCCCATTCAGGCTTGTTTGTACACAACACACTCCTACTCTGGGTACACTCATTAGGTCTATTTTAGAGCAGGGGATCCATTGGGGCAACAGAGAGAAGCCGGTTCGGTTTCGTACCCACATCCTCAGAGGCTCTCCTGCTCACACGACCGCAGCGAGCTTGCTGCAATTGCTTCTTTTTTGGCTGGTTGTTGGATTTGACCACACACCACCAATGCACTTTCTCTCTAATGAAGCTGACAGAACATGGTGGAACACAACCTCAATAGAGGATCCCCCTGCAAGTCAATGACAGATGGAAACGAAAAATGCCCTTGTGAAATAAAGCTGGTTAAAGGATAAATGTAAATTCTGGTTTTAAAGCCATTGCAGCATAAGTTAAACTCCAAAGTTTTAGTTTAACAACCCAATGAGAGCTTATATGTGCTTTTCTGTTCAGTTCAAACTTTCTGCTAGCCCTTCTTATACTAATATTAGTATAGTAAGCAGGGCTGACAGATCTAAAATGTTAAAAAGTCTAGTTAAGTATAATCAAGACAGGTATACCACATGTTTTCTACTAAATAAACACAAAGAAGAATGACATTAATAATTTTCATGCATATGCACCAATATAAAAAACAAACACAAACACTCATGAGTTAGGGTTAAACACTACCACTACTAGTCATTATTTCATTCATTAATTGGTGCCTCCTAGAGGCAGAAAAATTACCTAAAACAACTTTGAGTACAATATTATACTTCCCAGCAGTTTGATGTTTGCCAATTTTTAAAATGTCTTACACATAAACGAGTGACTGAATGCTTTAACAATTTCCTCGGGCAGTGAATATAAATTTGGTGTGGAAAAATGGAAATGACAGACAAAACAAAGGCAAAAAACACTTTAATTCCAAAGCCTGAGAACTGCCATGAATTCCAGAGAGAACTCAAAGGGCTAGGCCGTGTGAATCACAGCGAAGCGCCAGTCATGGGACGAAAACACAGCAGACGCTTTCTTCGTCAGCCCAAGCATGCTGGCCTTTCTTTCAATCTACTGTCTAATTGAACACAAATATTAGTTGTTTAGCCAGCAAAGAGGCCCCATGCTGCTCTTAGTAAGCGTCGGGCCCAGGTTTCAAACAGCCACGTTTTCCGAGCGCTGGTGTCAACTTCAAAGAAAGGACACACAAAGCTGATGCTCAAGCCCTCTGTCACTAACGTGAACCAGACGTAGTGTTGAGTTTCCTCTTGCAATCCCTTATTCAATACTTTCACTGTGATCTTTTCTTCACCATATACTTTGAAAAGGTTCAGAGCACTTGATGATAGGTTGAGTTCTGCTTTTTAAACGCATTAAAATGGTATTTCAGCACTACAGTCTTCCCCGTATGTAAACATTTTGAGGTAATGATCTGCCTAACCGACAAAGAAGCAGTCTAGTGGTGAGATAACATGCGTACCACAACTAATATTGTGATGTATTAGGACACACAACACTGGGTCACCTTTTACTGTTTACTGCTGATAGGCGTCTAGAGAAAGTCTCAGGAAGTGGCGACAGAAATGACATGTTTATGTAGCAGTTCTTGATTGCAACCCTTAAAGCATAAATCATAATGTCAAGACCTAAAGAGGAGGCTGGGGCCCGCATTGCTGAGGAAATCAGCTAGGCATACGTGCCCCGGCATTCCAAGAAGCCCCAACACAAGCACTGATACTTCCGATAACAGGGCTGAAGAAAAACAAAAACTAAAAAACTCAGGGTCTCCAATTACACAGTTGGAAAAAAAACATCAAGACAGTTTAATTCAGGTCAATTATTATGACTTTTCTTCACTTTTGCGCAGCAATAGGGATGCGTCCAAACTCTCACTGGCAAAAACTACCCGTGCTTACCGTAATTGTCCATGGAGTCCCAGCTCTTCCATCGTCTGTTCCAGTCTGCACCCACACCACTCAATAGGGAATCTTCTCCCTCATAACTGAGGTCCTCCCCATTCTCCTCCAGCCTGCCTTGCTTTTATGGCCCAGCCACTCTTCCGAGCTCAAGGACCAGTCATTCCTGCTCTCCTTGGCGAGGTCCATCTCAATCTCCATCTGTGGGTTGTCCACAACCTCAATGGTAACCTAGTAGAGAGATACAAGTTGATATCAGAAAGTTGTAGTTCTACAAAACCTTGGTTTTGACTGGTTTTTGGAACATGATAACCAGTTTGTTGTGGGTTCAAGATGGACAACCAGCCCAAACAAGCCTGATCAGGTCCAGCAAGCCAGGTTCAACCATCTAGACAGGCTTGGATCAGCTAATGACCATAAATGGCCAGTTTGGACCAGCTAGAAACCATTTTGACAACCACCTAATCTGACAAGTCTTTCTAAGCAAATTAGATTAATTATATACAATATATATGCTATATATTATAATAGATAGATAGATTGATAGATAGACAGACAGACAGACGAATCCTGGAGAAAAAAAATATTATCAGTTTCCACAAAAACATTAAGCAGCAGAACCGTTTTAAACATTGATAATACGTTTCTTAAGCACCATAAGTTTCTTGAGCACCAAATCAGCATATTAGAATTGTTGAAGAATTCATTATTTACATTTACATTTAGACATTTAGCAGATGCTTTTATCCAAAGCGACTTACAAATGAGGACAATGGAAGCAATCAAAATCAACAAAAGAGCAATGATATACAAGTGCTATAACAAGTCTCAGTTAGCTTAACGCAGTACATGTAGCAAGGTTTTTTAAAAATAATACAATAAATAAAAAAGAAAACAGATAGAATAGAAAAAGAATAGAGCAAGCTAGTGTTAGAGGTCTTTTTTGCTTTTGTTAATTGTATAATAAATGAAAGAAAACAGTTAGAATACATAAAGTTTAGAAAGCAAGTATTAGTTTTTTTTTTTTTTTTTTTTAAGAAATCAAGCAGCAAATTAATAGAGTGCAAGTCTAAAAGGGACAAGTGTTGTTGTTTTTTTAAGAATAGAATTAGAATGGAGACTGCTAGAGTTAGAAAAATTATTTCATTATTTGAAACTGAAAATGCAGCTTTTCCATCAAAGGAATAAATTACATTTTAAAATACATTAAAAATGGAAGAAGTTATTTTAAATTGTAATAATGTTTTTTATTATTATTATTAAATAAATTCAACCTTGGTGACTTCTTTCAAAAACACTAAAAACTAAATCTTAAAACCCCCTAACATGTGAACAGTAAAGTACAGTATATGTTTACCTGAATCACAACATATTGGGTTTAATTGCATAGACATTTAAAAGCTAACACTACCGCCCCCCTTGAGTACTGTGCTTTGTTATAGCCATGCATGTTAAGGATGTTCAAAGGATGTTCAACGTTTTCTCTATTCTCCTATTTGTTTATTTCAAAGGATGTTTTGAGGTGACAGATTTGTTCTTTGCATGCTTGGGCTTGTAGTGCCCGAGTCAGGCAGACCTGAAAACGATAGCAAGTGTTCCAGCAGGCCGAGACAAAGGACTAGTTGTTTATTTCCCCTACAGCGTAACAATCTGATGGCTGCTGCAGCTGTTTATAAAGGCACGGAGCAGTTTAGAGCGGGTGATTACGCTACTGTAACTGCAATGTTTACAACAGTCGGCCTCCACCTCCTCCTTGAACTAATCATGACTGTGTTCTACTTCCAAAGAACACAAGACGTCACTTTTAAAGACAAAAAGATCCAAGGTTTAGATCACTGGAGGTCCATTAACTGGCAAATTTAGGTTTAATGGCAACACAGACGTAAAAGAAATCTCTGCTGCATTTCTTTGTCAAGGTCTTATCACATTTGTTTCCATTAGAAATGGTGAGTCATAGAAAAAGAAGATAACATGAGATATACCAGCTCAAAAACGAAAGAAAGTGTTCAGTACAAACTGACGTCTTAAAATCATAATGTTCACCACATTACCTGCTAAACGCAGTAACTCATACATTTACATTGGCAGCCACCATATTGGAGACACATAAAAACAAAATAGCTTTTTCTAAAAAGTATGGAAGATGGACCCGTCCCACTTGGAAGACTCTCGAATTTTCCTTATTATAAAAGTCCATTTGCTTACCAGGGATCTTCTGTATATTTTTTCCCTGAAGTCTAACTTTGTTTCCTCTCAAGTCCACTTACACACATAAACTTCATAACAGTACTAAAAATATAAAAATCCCTTCTTTACCGGTGTTGTAAAACCATTTAAAGATTGGGATCTGCTCTTGGAGGGAGCATTAAAAGTGCCTGTTAAAATAATACTGTGGCCTTTCACCTTTTGGATTTTCTCGGGATTTCTTTTTGGTACACTGTGCAGAAGTTTGAGCGGCATGGCTGCAATAAGCTACACCAGAATAAAGGTCTTCCTTGGAAAGGAAAAAGTAATTTAAGACGCCTCTCCGGTTTAGAAGCAGCTGAGACATGATCAGCAACAGCGCAGAAACCTGAATTCCCTACTGCAATCACAGCAGCAATAACAGTGAAACAATGAGTGCATAGGTTAATTACATACACCACAAACTGTTGCCAAGTAAAATCAATCCATTACCCAGCTCATTATACAATGATTTATTTCACCCTAAGGAAAGAAATGACAAGGTTTTGGGAACAGCGAGATGTTAAACATATCTGGAATAACAAACTACCCTCATAATATTAACAACTATCTTTAGAAGAACTAATGCCAAGATATACAGATATACAACAAAAGAAACCTAAGACCCCCAAAACGCGAAATCACTGATTCAGTTCATTTACCTCATTTTCTTGTGGTCCAAGAGCCTGTAAACACTGTATTATTTCTTTAAAAGCATTTATATATACAGGAAGAAACTTGATTCTGAAGCAATCAAAATGACAATAAGGTGAGACTGGGCCTGCTCTTACTTGAATGTTTGGGTTCTGGGAGCCCAGGTCTGCGTTGGCAAGGTCAGGGAAGTTCTTCAGGTCTAAAATGAAGGGTTCTTCTTCTTCCTGTGGAGCAGGTTTGGGAAGGTCTCCCTCCGAGCGAATCTGCGACCATCTCCTCTTATGACGGCGAGGCAAAGGTGGCTCGCTCCTCAATTGGTTCTGCCGCTGAATGTCCCGCAGTGCCTGTCTGACATCTTTGGAGTCACCGTGACCTCTGACCTGGGAAGTGCACACATAGTATCCTATGAAAGGAACATCTAGTGATCTAACCAGCTTTATTTAGATGAAAGCATCCTTATATATAAAGCCCCCAGAAAGGACCAAAGATAAATCCTTCTGAGAAATTCCGTCATGCACGTAAAGATGGTTAGAGGATCTGTCTTAGTTTAACACCATATCAAATCTATACAGCCGTGACCTTATGGCCCATATGAAAAAAAAAGATGTCTGGGTTTCAAACAAACCCCTCTGGAGTGAAATGTCTAGCTCATGACAGCGTATCAGGTGGATTTTGGAACAGGATTAGTAGAAATCATGGCAATAATTTAAGACCTTTCTTTTGCTTTAATGATCCAGGAAAAGGCTGTTTCCCAGAACTTTGGAAGACTTTGTCAGTCTCTTTTAAGGTTTCGTATACAAAAAGCGCTCTTCGTGTTCTTTGATTTCCATGCTGCATATCTGTCAATCGATGCTTCATTGGGTTACCATTAGCAACATAACAAAACAGACAGCAGAGAAACATCAACAAGGAAGAGGAATTGCACGCTTACTGCTGCTGCTCATTCTTTCTCACTAAGTCATGGCTCACTCTCTTGACAGCTGTTTGACATTACAGGAAATGCTGCGCTCAACGGATGGAGAGGGACTGTGAATTCCTGGAGGAAGACTCAGGAGTCGGGACAGTGCATGCAGGTAAATGATTATATATATATATATATGTATAAATAATTTTTATTATTATTTAATCATTTTTATGATTTATGAAATATATTGAAATTATCTGTGTTGAACAAAATAAACAGAATTTTAGGGCAGGTCATGAAAAATAGGCTATTATATTATTGGTTAATTGGTTATTATATATATATATTTTTTTTTTTTAAATATATATTTAAAATGGTCATCAACAGAGTATTCGGGCGGGGCAAAAAAGAGGCTACAACATTATTGGTTAATAGTTTCGTATACAAAAAGCGCTCTTCGTGTTCTTTGATTTCCATGCTGCATATCTGTCAATCGATGCTTCATTGGGTTACCATTAGCAACATAACAAAACAGACAGCAGAGAAACATCAACAAGGAAGAGGAATTGCACGCTTACTGCTGCTGCTCATTCTTTCTCACTAAGTCATGGCTCACTCTCTTGACAGCTGTTTGACATTACAGGAAATGCTGCGCTCAACGGATGGAGAGGGACTGTGAATTCCTGGAGGAAGACTCAGGAGTCGGGACAGTGCATGCAGGTAAATGATTACACATTAAGGGATATGTATCTCTTTCATCTGGTTTACTTTAATATGGAGACATACAGTCTGTGGTGGTACAAAGAAAGGCTTCCTGTTGTCCACAAACCATGACAATACTCTAAAGCACTTTGCTGCTTGTTAATAATCATGTCAACAAGTCTTAAGCCTCAAGAATGAGGCAGATGATGGTGACTCTTTTTTTTAAATATCAAGTGCTTTTAAAGTGCTTATTTTATTTATTAAATGTAAAATATCATTATAATCACTATAATGATAATTTTTTTAATTGCACTAAAGGGAGTTGCACTGTAATTTCGTTGTATTTTAATACAAGGACAATAAAGCTGAACTGAACTGAAAATATCACTGATAATTATTTTAATATCAATAATGAATTACTGTTTCTTCAAGCCGTATCAGTTCCTGTAATGTCCTCAGACTAATTGTTATTTACAAAATTGACCTTAAATAATTATATATATATATATATATATATTTTAAATATATATTTAAAATGGTCATCAACAGAGTATTCGGGCGGGTCAAAAAGTAGGCTACAACATTATTGGTTAATATTATTTTTCTCTGGACACACATTTTGCAAAACAACATTGTTTTCTTTTGCTTTAACATACACTGATGAATTGTGCAGAATCAGACCAGGGACATTTAAATGTTGTAAGTAAATAGTATAGGAAACTCTCCAACCCAACATGCAATAAGTGCCAGATGAAACTCTCAGAAACTGAAAATTTTGGGTCATGCTGCGCTTCAAAGAGTTCTTGTGGAGGCCATGTCTATAAGCCACCAGAGACTTCAAAAGAACAGCAACATACACAAGCATAAATCAGAAAGCAAGAGACACATAATTCCTCATCATGACCACATCATTCTGCAAGCATTCTCGATATCTCCTTTACTTTCAAATCGCCATCTCAGATCCAGATCACCTTGGTGCATTTCAGCATGTGGTATTCCTGCTCTTCCTCATCTAGAGACTCAGTTTGATGTTCCCAATGTTCCCTTCTGACGCTCCAGAGGCTTCTGATGCAGCAGAGGAGAGAGGGGGAGTTGGGTCTGTCTGATCAAAGCCTCTCTCTACTGATCATGCGTGGCCTGCCTTGTCTCACTTCACTGCTTGTGTCTCTCCCACACGCAAAACAGATGTCCTCTGCTCCAGACGATAAACTTCACCCTGGCTCTAATGAAGTTCATCATCACATGGGGTGGGGAGAAGGAAAGGAACCTTCTTTAATGATTCGTAAACAATTATTAGCATCCAAACGACAAACGTTTCTATTTGAATTCAGTTTTTTATGATTTTCATTGGAATTTGTTCAACACAGGGACCATTTTTTGATGCAATAATTTAATGTGTTGTGATAAACAACCGTTCTCTCGATGCAAACGCTGTTCCCAACGCACAGCTACAGACAGAAATGGTCATCATGCGTCATAAAACAAAATGTGCGAAAATAGTTTACAGTCATGGCCAAAAGTTTTGGCAGTGACATAAATTTTGTGTTTTGCGTAAAACTTCCTGCAAGAGCGACTTCTTCCAACAATCCATGAGGAATTTGGTGGTGATCCGTGCATTTTCCAGCAAGATGGAGCGCCATGTCAGAAAGCAAGAGTGATAAAGAAGTGGCTCGAAGATCATTACATTGAAATTTTGGATCCGTGGCCAGGCAACTCCCCGGATCTCAATCCCATAGAGAACCTGTGGTCAGTCCTCAAAAGGTGAGTGGACAAGCAGAAGCCCACAAATTGTGATCAACATGAGAACTAATAAGGCAAGAATGGATCACCATCAGTCAGGATTTGGCCCAGAAGCTAATATCCAGCATGCCAAAACGAATAGCAGAGGTTATGAAGAACAAGGGTCAACACTGTAAATATTGACTCATTATTGACTCGAACGGTGATGTCCAATGCGAACAAATGACTACTATGAACTGATTCTTTTACAGAGTCAGTGAATCATTCAGAGCTGTTACTAGTTTATTGACTCGCTAAACCGGGAGTCATTTTACAGAAACGTCTGATTTGAACTGAACTGAGAATGTTAAAGCCTTTCACACAAAGGACGATAACTATACTACTACAGTGTGTCTCGACTTTCATGAGACTTACATCCGTTTATTTACTGACTGGTTGTTCATATGACAACGTCTAATTTAAGGTACATATTAACAACAAAGTTTTGTTGTATAAATGAATGTACTGACCATTTTACTCCCCATCCTGTATTATTGGCGTTTGACTGGCAGTGCCTTCCTTGCCATCAAAAAAAAAAAAGCACTAACACGTGACTCGAAGCTCAAATCATATTGGTATTTTCATCACTGAATGAAGAAAAACAAGTACTTAGATATATATGGTTATCTGCATGTGAATTTTCCATTGTAATCTATTGTTTCTATTTTAAATTTTGTTGGTGCCGATTCTGCTGAATATTCATGCCTGATGTGAACGGCAAGATAAAAAACATCAAGGCCACTTACTAGGATTTGGAGCAGAATGAATGTGTCAGCTAAATGAATCTCTAGGAAGTGCACAGTCGGAGTGCAGTTGAGAACTACTGTCCATTTTTTACAGTCCTGTGAAAACCAATGAGATGCAATGAAGGATTTCGAGTGTTTCCTGACTTTGTGCGCCTTCCAGAGATCTTTCATACTGTTCCCTTCAATCATTCTATAATCAAACCTCTGAGAAATAGTCATGCCAAGATAAGCTCCTCACTCAGCGTTGCCGTTTGTATTAATCTCTTTCTTTACATGGGTGAAACTGCTTACCCACCAGCTGAGATGAAAAGGATGGCTATGATTTCACATGAGTGCTACAGGTTAATACGAGAAAATAAACTTTAAAGAATACTTTCCTGTGCCGCAAAGCAGCTCGCAACAACCAAGTCCCTGGAGCCAGAATTCCTGACTCACCACAAAGGGGGCCAACAGAAACAGGAGAGGCAAGACAGCAAGGCCACTCGTGAGCAGAGTGACATGGTAAGGATGGAATCCTGCCCAGATCCTGGCAGAGACGATCATTGTCCTCATGCCTTTATGTTGTTCTTTCTCTATATTTTTTCTTCCAGCATACCACCATGTTACAATCTGATTCTTTTGGCATGCCTCAACAGCATCAGTGTACCATGTGTTATCTTCTCTCCTCACAAACAGTTATTGTGTTTTATAGGACGTGCCATCTGGACGGGAACGGAGACCTAAGAGAATAAACGAATACGCCCCTGCCAAAATAAATATCACACACACATGGTCTCGGGATGCTTTGAGCTGAATATGCTGGAGCAGAGGTGCCACCACAACAAGGGCATCAGGGCACTGAAGCTGGAGAGGCAACAGAGTCCCAAAGCACATGAAACATTCAGAGTCTGATTTCCCCAACACCCTCATAAAGCATTACCTCTGACCGCTTAGAAAGAAAGCAAATGGGACGCATTAGGGACGGAAAACTGAGCGGCTTGTTCATAATTCAATAAAATGGATGGATTTGATTATTCTCTTCCAAAAAAGGGAAAAGCACGTTTTTCTTTGAGCCAAGGATTAATCACACTGTCAGAAGTCCTTATTCCTTGTCGGTGTGTCATGCATTTAAAACTATGGAAGTTCATTTCTGTTTCAGTGTGAAAAAATAAAAGGGTAATTGTGACTTTATTTTTGGAATTGTGACTTTATATCCCACAACTTTAACATCATACTGTGGCTCACAACTGCAACTTTCCTTATAATTGCAACTTTGTTTCTCAAAATTGACTTTATTTCTTAGAATTTAACCTTTTTTTCCCCAAAATTATAACTTTATTTCTTAAAATTGTGACTTTTCATCTTAAAATTTTGACTTTACATCACAATTGCAACTTCATATTTCACAATTGCACCTTTGTTTCTCAAACTGCAAATGTATTTCTGTTAACTGTGACTTAATCCATCACAATTACAATTTTATTTCTTAGAACTGCAATTTCATATATCATTGCAACTTTACATCGTACAATTGCAACTTTTTCTCATAATTGTGATTTCATATCTCACATTTGTGACTTAATTTCTTGTAATCGCAACTTAATTTCTCACAGTTGACGCTGCATATCTTACATTGTATACTTCATACTTTATCTTATGATTGCATTTTTACTTTTACATAGTTATGACTTTATATCTCACATTCTGACTTAATATTTCTTATTTAAAACTCACTCAAACATTTTTGTGCGCAGCAAGTGAAACTCAAGCTTAGAATGCCTAGATGGATATATCCAACACACATTCATGTCTGGCTTCTCTCAGATGGCTTGTGTCAAAAACTCTTCATTAACGTCATGTAAGCCTCATTAATCCCATCCCACTAGAATTCCTGTTGACACTTGATAACCAACTTGTACCAAATGTACCAGTGGTACTGTACATCTTCATACCAACTATATTAATGTTATAAACTGAAAAAAGGCAGATTGGATATGTATCTTTTCTTTTACAAGCTTCAGATGTTTATAATCAGATCTGCACAACATGTTTTGTAGGGCCAAGATCTAAAAAATAGTATGTACTCAGCAACATGCAGGCACGTTATTAAATCTATTTCTACTCTCAAGTTGGTGTGTGTGTTCTGGTGGTTTTTGTGAAATATTATCTGGTGTTTCTTCATTAAATTCTGAATATAGCTTCTACCAAAGCATTCGCTATATACTTTCAAACAGATTATGGTTTACAGTTTCAGTTTAACCTCAATTAGAGCACTGGACATCTGAGAGCTTTCCGCACCCGAGTCATCCGGCACAATGCTAAGAAACGGCAACATAAGCTTCCAAGCGGGGCTCAAGAATTTGGCGCCATTTGTGGAATTGGTGTCTGCTTGGGCTTGAGGAGAGGAAGAGCCCTGTGATTATTGGGCTTATCAATTATAGCACCAAGGCCGCTGAACTCCTATGAGATTTCTCTGAGCGTGGCGTATCGGATTCCAGCTGGCTGTTTTGATTAGTAAGTGTCAGTATTTTGTGTGAAGCAAAGACGTCCGGTTACAAAGGGGAAACAATGGCCCTCCCATGTCTGCATGAACCCTGGTGACTATTTTAATAAAAACATCTTTCCCAATTGGCTTAAAAGGTGGGGGAGACATGATGTTTTCACACAGCGCACAAAGATGGTCTTGTATCACCTGAGTATCGCCACTTACCTGTCTGCTTTCTGTCAGGTCTTCGCACCCTTGAGCAAGATGTGTTCTTAACCCCATGCTCAGGTTGTGCGTATAGTGAGTCGAGTATCTACTATATAGATCGATTCATGTGCACATGCAAGAGGAGCCTTAGTATTACGTCTAGGATAGTGGACTTGTATTCGAAATTCTTTTCAGAGGGGAAATGACTATTAAAAGGCAGCCTGGGGTAGGTTTGCATTTCCTCTCCGAGTTAACACTCCATAAAGCTGATCCATGAAAAAAAGTCACAGCATAACCCTGGATTCAGTGTGACCTCACTTCTCTGCTGAAGGAGAAATGAATGAATTAAATACCCAAAACAACCCATGAACATTAAACTGTGGTTTATCATTTAACAGATGGGGCAAATTAACCACCACGCCATTCCAGGCATTAAGCACACTTTAACTATGGAAACTGTATTTTCAGTGTGTTTGACCTCTAATAAACTTTATCCTGCTTCTTTCTGAATATGATATGACATGTGAAAAGATTCCTACCTGTCTGACACCTGCTGCGGCTCTATGAAAACTCATTTGAATTCAGTGCGTTCTGCAGCATGGTAAAGCTGACCGGGGCTAGTTGTCACAATGAATATCAAATCACTGCTTTGGCCTACAAATATTGTAATACATAAATGTATCCTTTTACAACATGTGATAATTTTATGACAGATATCTTTGTCTTGAGAAAACGGTTCTCCTTTCAGTTAAAATATATAGATAAAACACACATTTATTTGAATGGATGGTATAGTTATTGGATGTGACATCTTACCCTGTGTGACAATTAGCTCCTATTGGTTAAAAAACCAGATCAGGTGACAACGTTAATTTTCTGCACATCACTGACCAAGGTGGTCATAGAATCGGGAACATTAACTATTCCATGTGCCTGCAGATGTACTTTTAGACCTTTTAGGTCTTACCATTTTATGACATTAGCATTTATGTGGGATTTTCTGACAAATTAATTTAATAGGTAGATATTCATTTAGATATGTATCAACTCTGTTGTTGCTGTAAAATAAAATTATCTAAAAAAAATTAGCAAATTAATAATTAATTATTGAAGAAATCCTACCTCTAGAGATGTTTCACTCTTGCTCTTGATGTGATTTGCTCTTTGTCTTTTTGCAGGGAACCCCTTCACCAACAGAAGACAAAGTGTCAAGAAAACTGCCCACCGTAAAGCTTGGCTTCGAATCAGCATGACTTGAAAAATAATAAAAAGGACAGTTTTTACTATGATTTTGCTATCGTGCACGACTTTTGATGAGCTTCTATGAACGGCACTCAACCTTCTTCAATTCCAAGGTTCTTTTATGTCTCTTTCTTTGCATGTATGCCCATCTCTCATATAAAACCAATCCATCTAAAACGTCAGAAATGCATTAGGCATTAAACATGTAAAGCAAATTCTCAGTGAGCAACAGAACAGCCCTCATGTCCGCGTGTCCCTCAGATCTTCTGACTCTGAGAGGCTCTTGGTCTCCAAACGCATTTCAGCAGTTTCCAAACTTTTAATATTCCTCTCGGATTTCTTCAGGTGATCTTCCAAGTGTAGCGAGTTTGCCTCTATCCAGTGGAAATAAATGAAGAACAGTGTTTGAGTGTGATTCTGCGGTGGATAGCTCCTCAAACACGCGTCTCGCGGAGCTCAGTGCGCACTGAGCAACTGAAGGTCCAAGACGATCAACGCAGCGCTCGTATCCTCACTGCCCGTGAATGCAGATCTATGATGCGCTCCTGACTTGTGCACACAGAAGTCTACACCTCATGCAGGTACTGTGGTGAAATGCCCTCAGTAATTCGCTGGCTGGAGGTGACATTCATCTCCCTCCGCTTGTGTGACGTCTCTGGAGGGGTTCATAAACCCCACTTTGACTGACTGAATGAATGAATGACTGAAGCATGAAAGCTGGAGCTGCGCGGGGTATAACATCCTCATTAGATCCAGTGAAGAGAAATGTTTTGGCTTATTTAAGGCATTATGTTTGGTCCATATTATTTTAAAATGTATGTTACTTATTTTAGATCTGTATACACTACTGTAGAAATACTTTTATTCGGCAAGGATGCATTAAATTGATTTAATTGAGTAATTTATTTGTTATAAAATATTTCTGTTTCAAATAAATGCTAAAAAATAATGTTTCTAGGTTTCCACACAAAAAAATAAAATAAAATAAAATAAAAAAGCAGCACAACTGTTTTCAACATTGATAATAATAAGAATTGTTACTTGAGCACCATATCAGCATATTATAATGATTTCTGAAGGATCATGTGACACTGAAGACTGGAATAATTGCTGCTAAAAATTCTTCTTTGTCACCACGAAAATAAATTACATTTGAAAATATAATAAAATATAAAAACTTTTTAAATATGTAATATTTCACAAAATTACTTTTGTTATATTACGTTTTTATTGTATTTGTGAGCAAATAAATGTAGCCTTGCTGAGAATAAGACTTTCAACAAAGTAAAAAAAAAAAATCTTGCCAAGTACATCAAACATATCAATTTTATAAAAGATTTCAAAAACTGTACTGTATAAAATAAATGTATTTTTATACAGCAGTGAATAATTTTTAAAAAATATATATTATCAAATATTTTCATTATTTTGTGAATTGTATAAATTGAAGCTTTGCCAATGATTAGTTCCAAGAAGCTTAATATGTACAGTATGTTTCCTCTAATGTGGTCTTGTGGTAATTAATATGAAGTCCTCTGAGGTATTAATTCAAAACTATCGCATTTGTAATCTAGCAGCCACTGGATTACCAATATAATTTAATTATGGAGTCGGGACAGTATAGAAATGTGCAAAGTATAAAGTGAAAAAAAGACACAAAAGACCTTAACGATACATTTAGTCATAGTAATTTAATTTCCTTAGGAGTGAAACAACTCTTGAACTGATGAAGCCCACAATGTACTTTGATTCAAAATTAGGTCTTAAAAACAGTATGCACTACAGTCAGCAAAGTCCAAGTCATATTAGAACACATACAGTGAATGTACTGGTAAAGCATATGTTTTATATGAACAAGAAGTCTTTATAGTTGGATTAATCTTTCTTAAATGTCAGTTTTTATATAGTCAAGAAAAAAATATATGATTGTTTCCATCCTTTGCTGTTTTAAAACATCTCTCAGTCCATGTAGTTTCTCCTCTGGTTAAATATAAAGGAACGCAGGTAAAAAAAAAAATGGTTAAAAAGAAATATCCCTGGATTTTGATGTTGTAAAAGACTTGTACTAAATTAAATACATGGGAGAATGTACTACCCCACAGGACCAAAGCAACAGAAGCCACAAAACAGAACAAAGAGTGTACATTTCAGCACCTTTAAAGCATCATAAACCAGCAGATTCAGTGATTACATCCCACATGCTTTGCTGGGAATATTAAAATGATAAAAAAAATACTCATCAATAGTATGTGCACTGAGAGCATGCACATCATGCATGTGCATATAAGAGGATATCTGGAGCTGCCGTTGATGATTAAAGTACATTTCTCCAAACAATAAAAGATATGGAACATGAATAATAAATAAATATGTACATTAAATAACCATATACATAACATAAAGCTCCTTTTATGAATGCTGAAAAGAGTTTTAAAAGACTTTGAAAATCATAAGACAACAAACTTCTATCAACATTGAGGAAAGTTTATAAAACTACAGAATGAAAACTCTTGAGAGAGAGCAAACTTATTAGTTATTCATGCCATTGCACTCATACACTAATAAGTCACTATTAAAATAGTTTTCAGAGGTTGCATGTCACGAAATAGATCATCTACCAATTAAAACTGGCTGAAAATTTACTCCCCCCTCAGGCCATCCAAGATGGAGATTAGTTTTATTTCTTCATCGGAACAGATTTGGAGAAATTTTGCATTAAATCAATTGCTCCCCAATGGATCATCTGCAGTGAATGGGTGCCGTCAGAACGAGAATCCAAACAGCCGATAAAAACATCACAGTAATCCACAAGCAATCCACACAACTTCAGTCCATCAATAATGCCTTGCGGATCGAAAAACTGCATGTTTGTAATATATTCATCAATAAGATGTTTTAACTTCAAATGGCTGCTTCCAGCTAAAATATACGTCTTCTATCCATAATATTGCTTTCAATATTTCAAAAATATTGAAAAATATGCACAGATCAAGCAGCTTTGAAGCAAAATCAATCCAAAACAGTTCTAAACAAATATGTTGGTGGATTTTGATGTGAGAGGACAACAGGGAATGGACTTTTACACTGGAGGTTATTATGGATAGAGGACTCGTATTTTAGCTGGAAGTGATGGTTTAAAGATAAAATGGCTTGATTGATTTCTTACAAACACACCGCTTTTCACTTCATAAGACATTAATTGATGGACTGGATTCATGTGGATTACTTGTGGATTACTGTGATGTTTTTATCAGCTGTTTGGACTCTCATTCTGACGGCACCCATTCACTGCAGAGGATCCATTAGTGAGCAGGTGATATGCTACATTACATCAAATCGATAAAAAAAAAAAAAAAACTCATCTACATCTTGGAAGGCCTGACAGCGAGTAAACTTTTTGGAAATGTTCATTTTTGGGTGAATGATTCTTTTAAAGTTGCAGTTTCTACAAGGTTTTGGAATGCTACCGCACAACTTGCGCTGCAGCTTTGGAGATAATGCATATAATCAGCATCCATGTTTCCTCAGAGGTGAAAATTTGATAAGTATGCATGGTTTCTACCTAGACTTCCCTCAGACACAACCAACTTCACCCTCCACGACTGGTATCGCGATGAAAAAATAAATATCCTGGTAACATAACAAAAACCATAGCCAGATTGAAGTAAGACACCAGAGCTGGCCGCAAGTCAAAATCTGTGGAAACAACAACAACTAGAGAGCCAAGTTGTGGAGGTTTTGGAGTTTGATTTATGTAACACAGTGAATGTAATGACAATGCAATAAGAAGAACCTGTAATTCCTTTCATGGGTCAGGATCCTCGGAATTATGGGTTCGCTAGTCTGTTCTCACTTACTAGAGAAAAAAAAAGTCTCAATGGTTTTTGTACACAAAAACGGTTTTGAAGGCTGCAGTGACATATGGCTTTAGCAAGTACACAAGCAGCTCAAAGCCTCCTGTGGCTGGCAGAGAAAAATCTAAATATTTATTTCCCTAAACGAATGCCACAACGAGTTAAAAACAGACCCCAAACCTCACGTCAAAACGAAACTGAGGTGACAAATGCAATAGAGGAAACGGGGAAGTGTCAAAAGAAAGCATTTCTTTTTTTAAAAGCATCAGTGTTTGGTCGTTGGATGTATTAAAATAAAGATGATATACCCAAGTTAAAAAAAAGATCTATTTATTAAGTGGTTCATTGCTTCCTTTTGGAGAGCAGAAGATGAGCAGTGCACATTTGGTTCAGATAGGAAGTATGTCACTCTTTGTTCTCCTCATATGTGGTCTCGTCAAAGGGCCGGTCCAGCGAGGGAAGAACTTTGTGCCGCGAATACTTCAGCTGCAGCAGATCGCCTACTTCACTGATCACATCCAGCGCCTGAAAACAATCAGCATGCTCCATTACTTTCCTGGTTACACATGTAAGTCATAACATGCTAATGCTGAGAAGCAGCTGCCACCTACCATGCAGTACTTTAAAAGTTTGATATAATACAGTCATGGCAATGCTAGTTGAATTATTTATACTGCAATTGATTCCATGCAGATTTCTGGTTCAAGTTTCCATGAAATGCACAAAATGTCAATTATTAATGTCAACTTGTTAATTTTTCAAAGAAATGTAAGACTATATGCACTAGGGCGGATCAATCTATTCAATATTCACACTGTAAAAAAATGCAATTAGATTTGGTAAGTTCAATGAACTGATTTAAAACTTTGATTCAATGAATCATTTGAATCATCACTTAAAAATGTTCATCTAAGTCTCTGCTTGACATCTGTCATATATTACAATGTTTCAGCCAAAAAATGCTGATCAATACAATTAATTTCGTGAACATAAATAAAACAATTGGGTATTAATACTATAAAGTCATTTAAATATTCTTCTGTGTGTTCATTTGTTAAAAAAACTGTGTTAATACTTTAAAATTAGATTTGTACCACTTTTACTTATTACTAGATTTTACTATTTGCATTAAACATTAAATCAACTTGTCAAAAATGTCTGTTTGGTTGAAATGATAGTTTCTCTGATTTTAAATGAAAGTAAAATACATAAACTAAAACGCATTAAAATAAAATAATACAGGACAAATACATAAATCAAGATATATACTAAAAAATTTTTTTTTTTAAATCACCAAAAGGCTAAAAAATACATCATGACAATTTTTTCCAGCCCCAAAAACCTGTCAAGCCCCAGAAAATACAAGAAAATATGTCAGAAGGACACAGAATAAAATTAAATAAAATATGACAAAAAAATAATACTAATCAAGATATATACTAAATAATCATCAAAAGGTGATAAAAAAATATATTGTGATATATATTTCCATTAAACTGTCCAGCCCTAAACCCTTTAAACTTTTGTTATGCACTTTGTACAATCTTAGCCATTCAGCAATGGAAGCAATGCAAGAAAATATGTCAGAAGGACACTGAAAAATGTGTTGACGTGATAACTGGTCACATCAAAGTGCACAGTGTTTTCTTAAGCACGGGGAGGGGGGCTGACGGCCGGTGTGCTTTTCACCATAGTTAAATCAAAGTGTCCTTGGGGAGGCAGATTAAGATGCTCTTTGATCTGCTGCCAGTGCAGACCCCTGTAGCAAGAGCTGCTTATGTAAACCCTCAGTCGAGACCTGCATTAATTTACAGCGCAGGACAGTTTGAGAAGGAGCCTGGAATTCTTTAGACTGTTATTATTTTCAAACATAAAAGTTTTATCAAGTTTGAGATACTGTATTTCAGAAGATTGATGGACAGGGGTTTTGAACGTGAGACGACAGACATTTCTGGTCTAATTCCTGTTGAAAGATATCCTTCTTGAAATGTAAAGCACATATCAACTGTATGTCATCAAAGCTCATAGTTTTTTCCATTAAGTCAACATATTCCATTGTAAACACTAAAATTTATGGCACGAGAAACAAAGTCTAGTAAAAAGGGTACAATGCTGCTTTGAAGTGATGTAAATTACTGGATGTACTCGCTGTGGCGAGAAAACGAGTAGTTACCCTGTCCAGCATTTCCTTGGTGTGGGCCGCAGAGATACAGAAGCGGGCTCTGGACTCTATGATCGGCGTGGCTGGGAAGCCCACCACCACTACTCCAATATTTCTCTTCAACATCTCCCGACCAAACGCCCTGGAAACACAGACACAGCCTCATCAATTTTCAAGAAGTTCTTTCCAAACTAAGCTTTCCATTATGCGCTTGTTTTTGTTCTATTATGAGGCACTATTAAGAAACTATTATTAGTGTAATCCATTTGGATTTATTTGGACGTTTATAGACCTGAACCTTGTTAAACAAGACATTTTTCTTCAAGAATATTACTTCACCTACAAATGGAAATTCAGTCATTATTTATTCACCCTCATGTCATTTTAAACTAGTATGCGGTTAAAATAAAAATTGAAATAGTTTTTTTTGGTAATTGAAATAAGGGTGAAATAAAATAAAATATTAGATTAAAAAAAAAAACTTTAAAAATACAGCAAACATTTGAAATGTTGTCCTGGTATCTAACTGAAACCAAGTTTTTGAAACTTGAAATTAAATTTAAATTTAAATTAATTAGAGCTATGAGAATTTAAAAAAAAAATGAAATGACAAAAGCACAGAAAATACTAAAACTTTAACTAAAACTAAATGCTGTTTTTGCTACAGAAAATGTAAACCAGAGACACTTTTAACAACTTGCTCTTATAATTGTGAGTCGCAAATCTTAAAATTAGTCTAAAAAGTGCATTAAAATTATAATGAAAACTGAAAATATAAAAATATAAGCCAATACAAAATATTAATAAATCCTAAAATGGTATATAAATAATACTAAAATAACACTGGAACACAAAGGGAGAATGTTGAAGAGGATGAATAAAGTACTAGCAAAATAGTGCATACGACTTCTGCACTATATTCTTTGTCTTTGGAAGTTTGAGGAACAGACTTAAATTCAAATCATTGACTCCGTTCAAATCATACATTTCATTTGATTTTCAGAGCTGCATACTGAGTTGCATGAATACGTTACTTAAATTTTGGCTTGTTCCTCACACAAAGCTATCATGAGGCTTTGAAACACTTGGAATATAGTGCATAAGCTGTACACGCTTATTACAAAAATTTATTATGATTGTACAAGCTTTTTAGAACTTGACAGATGTCACTACATAATATGTACTGCCATTTTTGGAATACATGGAGTCAGAAATCATTTAGATTTGCTCATTTTGTGTTTCATTGAACAAAGTACCTGAACATGTTTTTTTTGTTTTGTTTTTTTTTCCAAGGGATTTTTGTGTACTTTAATATGTAGGATATTAGTATGTATTAGTATACTGAGAGATTGAAAAAAGAGAGAAAAAAGACTAACCCGATTTTGGCGGGCATGTAGAGCATCATGGGTACCACAGGTGAGTCATTGTTGCCATAGATGATGAATCCCATCTCCCGCAGTCTCCTACGGAAATAGACTGTGTTTTCAGCCAACCGCTGGATACGTGAACGGCCTGAAACCGAGAAACACACCCAAACCATTAAGCTGAAGTTTTCAGAAAAAAAAAAAAAAAGAAGTGATTCTGTCATCTGGCACTCCGCATCTTTTTCCACAGCCTTTCATGCGATCAGACAATTAAAATTCACCAAGCCACAAAACTCATTACTTCAGATACTAGGAAAGTCGACCACCTGAGCTATAAACTTTATACTTAAGCCTGCACGATCGCTAGATCTGAAACTGTTCAAGAAGAAATAGTTAATACCTGCTGATTTTTATATCACATTTTAACTTTCCCCCGTGATATCACCAAGGCACATGCCCTTTGTACACAGAAAAAAAAGTATCAGATGTTTACTTTCTATGCATCCAAAGTGCTTTTTATCACAATTCAGATCCATCAAAGCTTGACGTCTAATGGCAGAAAGATTTTAATCAGCTGGATAAACAAAACCCTGGTGCTGCAGGTTACAGAACCCTGCAACAATCCTCTGCGTGATTGGTGCGGAAGAAGAATACAGTAATGAGAATTATACTGCAAACAATCTTCCAGCATGGTTCCAATAAGCCTGACAAACACAGGAAAATTAGTGTCTTGATTTTTCAACGGCTCCCTCTGGAAGCAGGACGTATGTTCCCTGGGGGAGGATTGCTTAGCGATCCACGTCAATGGAGCTCTTAAAACACTTAGTCCACCGCAGTGATCTGAGAGCCACGCTAAAGGTCTTACATTTCTGAAAGCCTCGGTTCTGCTTCGTCAAACATTCCATGCATGCTAAAAGCTTGAACAGAGGAATTTCCTGCTCTGTGACAATGTTTCACCTCGGTGTCATCCAGACGCCAAAAATCTTGCCGTGCATGTAGGGTGACACAACTACAAGGTCCCGAAAAGTCGCTGTGCTGTTATGACTTAACATTTTGTCTGGCCTTGTAATATTCTGCTTTTTAGTGGTTTTGAAAAACAAGGGTTATAAAGAAAGAAGGGATCTCAAGGTTGAACAATTCGGTCTGGTCTATATGACGGGGCTATTGAGGTTCCATCTGATGAGCCCTTGTGAAAGGAGGCTTGCCTGGCTGTGAAACTGGACTCCTTCCTCAATCCCCCAATGTAAATTGGCCACTGACAGATAATGTAGGTTCCACAAGTCATGACCGGGTCAGCCGCTCTGTAGTAAGGAAATTAAGCCTGGCCAATGTGTAACGTTAAACACAATGGAAGCCCAGTTACCTGATTGGTGATTCCCATTGGTTCCTTGCCCAAATAATGTAGCGCTACGAACTACGGCAGTGGTTCTCAAAAAGTTCAGATCAAATCTTTTAGAACCACCTGGTTCATCATGTTCATCATTTATCCACCCTCATGTCATTTTAAACCTTTTGTGGAACACCAAAGAAGACATTTGGAGAATATTTCAACTGTTTTTGTCCATACAATGTAAGTCATTGGGATCCACTGGACAACAATGACTTTCATTGTATGGGCAAGAAAACACATTTCAAAACATTTTATTTTGTGTTCCACAGAAGATTAATGTCATTAATATCCTATTTTGGGTCATATCAATCAATATTCCTGTAGACTGGATAAATCATGCAGCTGTGAGAGCCTCATCAGTCAAACACATTATTTTATAAACCATTTGAAATATTGCAATTCAAGTAAAAAAAAAAAAAGTTCAATAAATAAAAGCATACAGTACCGTTCAAAAGTTTGGGGTCAGTAAGATTTGTAAAATACTATTTTAATATAGGAAGGATACATTTAATTGATAAAAAAACCCAGTAAAGACATTTCTAATTCACAAAAGATTTCTATGTCAATTTTTTAAATTAAATTTTAATTAAAGAATCCTGTAAAAATCTAACAGTTTCCACAAAAATATTAAGCAGCTCAACTGTTTTCAACATTTATAATTATATGAAATGTTTTACCAAAGCACAAAATCAGCATATTAGAATTATTTCAGAAGGGTCATGTGACACTGAAGACTGGAGCAATGGCTGCTGAAAATTAAGCTTTGCCAACACAGGAATACATTACAAATGACATTTTAAAATATATTAAAATACAAAGTTGAATTGTTGTAATATTTCAATATAATTACTGTATTTTGTATTTTTAATCAAATAAATGCAGCCTTGGTGAGCATAAAATACTTATTTCAAAAACATTTATTTTTTTCTACTGACTCCAAACTTTTGAATTGCAGTGTATATTTATAAATTTAGTCAATGTTATACTTTATTCTTTCTGTTTAGAAGCTCTTAAACGTCTCAGTCTAGTTTCATTTTAGAAATGATGCCCAAATTGAGCATAAAGATGCTTTAAAAATGCAATCAGATATTTAACACGAAACGAAAACAAAATGGTTTCAAATTAAATTTATATTTCATTACATAATAGTGCACATTCCAACAGCAACTTCAAGAAGCTGAATCACTCAGGAAGACAGAGTTAAATCATGGCTATTATGTTTGACAGCCCTTACAACAGAGGAACCTGTAGAGATTCTAATGAACACCTAAAGAGAACTGATCAGCTACAGTATGCAAACAGCTCAGGTGAACAACTCGATGAAAATGAGCATCTGAAAGCAATAGCCATTAATGGAAGTGCAAGCTCCCCAACATTGGGCCATTGAGATAGCGAATAAGGGCCATAGGGCTTTGGGGGAGGGCGAGTGCACCGAGGTGGAGCTCGAGTCTCCAAAGTAAATCTTTCTGGGGTACCTTTTCAACAGCTAGTTTCACAACGCACACCCCCGCTAACTTCTTCCAGACCCAAAGCTGGAGGATCTGGAGCAAGAGAGGCAGCGAAAGGGACCAAAAGAGCTTCCAGATGTGGGGACTGTTTCCCTTTTTTGAAAGGCCAGTTCCTCCTCACTTCCTTTCATCTGAAGGGAGGAGATAAGTAAAAGCACCAGGAGTTGAGGGTGGCTGACGTGCTGAAAGCCTCCTCGCCCCTTACGAGGACCTCTCTGGAGAAGGGCAACAGGAAGCAAAGCAGCTCCTTCCAGGCTCAAATCTGTGGCCTCAATCATTCATGTGCTGCAATGGTGCTCACTAGGCTAGCAGCTGTCCTGATGCTTAAGTCCAAGTCAGTGGAAAGTAAACGGGGATTTTACACCTGCTTACAGGTTGATTCATTTCACAGCTATCCACATTCACTCCTCTCATCAGTAGCATCACTTTTCCTGTGAATTCAAGAGACGTTTCACATTGACACTACCATTCAAAAGTTTGGGGTCAGTAAGATTTTCTTTTTTTTAAGAAATTTAAACTTTTATTCAGCAAGTATGCATTAAAGCGATTAAAGGTGACGGTAAATACATTCATAATGTTACAGAATATTTCTATTTCAAATAAATGCTGTTCTTTTTAACTTTCTATTCATTAAAGAATTCAGAAAAAAATCTATCCAACTTTCCACAAAAATAATAAGCAGCACAACTGTTTTTAACATTAATAACAATAAGAAATGTTTATAGAGCACCAAATCAGCCTATTAGAATCTTTTCTGAAGGATCATGTGACACTGAAAATTCAGCTTTGCCATCACAGGGATAAGTTAGATTTTTAAAATAAAAAATAAAAAAATAGCATGTTACAATATTACTGATTTTACCATATTTTTGATCAAATAAATGCAGCCTTGGTGAGATTAAGACACTTCTTTCATAAACATTAACATAAAAAAAAAAAATTCTTAATGACACCAAATTCTTAAACGGCCATGTATATCTTATTCAAAAACATAATTACTTGCTTTACATGCAGGATTTTTAATTACATGTAATTTATTTAAATCAAAATTTAAAGTCCAACAACAAATGGTTAACATTATTGCACTACTTTTCTCTGTTGTGCTGTGTTTGGCACATATACTGTACATGTATTTGTATTTTTACTCACTCACTGCAAAAATTAGATACTCGCATGAGTAAGTGAAAGTTATGTGCAGGGAAAAAAAACCTCTCAAGCGCATTAAACACAAGCACCCAGCATAACAACTGTCATGAAACTGTTTATGAGCATCCTTGAAGCATTAAAAATGTTCTCTTTTGCTCTGTGACCATCCTGTAATTTCCCTCCCCCCCATAGAAATTGATTTTTTCGCTACTGCAAAGTGAAAGTACTGATAGAGTTTCAATGGGCGCCATGCAAAGGTCACAGACCAGTTTAGGCGCAATATTGACTTTCATGCTGATAAAAATAAGGCTGTGAGGGAAAAGACTTACAGTCTTTATAGTGGCATGCACTGGTTAAAGGTCCTAGATCCTTTAATTTTCACAACTTCAACTTTTTTATCTACTGAAAGCTTTTTTCGGTAAGACGTGTAGTCAGCGGAATATTCAGCATGAAATAACAGTACAATTCACTGAACTGAATGTATGTTTATCCTTCACAGCCTGGTGCTACTCTGACTAATGTTTATAAATCAATAATGAAATTCATTGTTGATTATTTTCATTAACAATTAGATGTTGCAGCTCTAGTCATCGATGGATGCTAGTTAGGGTATGTCTGTTGGTTTGAAATACTTGCACAACAATGGAAGTGTCAAAGAAACAGAAGCACATCACAACATCTGGAATAACAATCCATTACCCTGCTCTAAGGGAGGTGTGGGTAAACACATTCATACACCTAAAACGTGTATCTGCCCTCTCTCACAGAGCAAGTCAACACCTCGAGACAAAGATGAATGTCCAGTGTTTGTCAAGTCCGCCTGTTTGCAACCAGGCTTAACAATGAGATCAGGTATGCTCATCACCACACATTACAGCAAGATAAAAATGTCAACTTGGGTAACCACTGTGATTTACGAGGCGAAATCTTTCAAATTCACACATTTTTTGCGCATTTTCCTCTGAGAATGAGCAAGGCCAGAAATATTTCTTATCTGCATGTTTGTGTGGGGACGCCAGGAATTTTGGATGGTTTGAAAGCCAGATCTGATTGAAAGAAAACTTTATTTCCATTCAGGCCAAGGACAAGTCGGACTGTGAAATC